ATTTATCTCTCTTCGAATCAGCAATTGCTCGGAATTGCCGACCGTGAATCATGTTATCGCCTTGTTGATCGTCGTTGGACTAATAAAGGATCACTCGACACGATCGGGAGAAAAAAGAAATAGAAAGGATTAAGTGTGGTTCTCATCCCGTAAAATTATAGTGCCAGAATTTCTGGTCGTGATAAATTCGTATAAATTGCAGATACAATTCACGGAGGTGTCGCGAAGATAATATAGAGGAGTCACGGGAAATGATTAGGTACCGGTATCTGAGCAGCGGCGCGGCGGTGTAATTAGCACCTCGACTACTGCAACTATCACGTGTATATATCTAGTGAATATGAAAACAAACACGAATTTTTTAAGCAATGTATCATTTCAAACTTTGTTCTCACTATTTCTCGTTATTAATTTATAAAAAAATACAAAAAATTAATTTTAATGAGCATGCTCATTAAAATTAATCTTTTACGGTGAAATTTTTATTATGTTACACGTCTTATTATAATTCGGTGAAAATGCGCGATTGTATTTTTATAAATTCGCAAATTTATTTTATCAATTTTTCCATATTGCTCCGCGCGTTGCGATATTTAATTCGAGCATTAATTTGCCTTAATGCATCTTATTAAAATTTTATTATTTCGTCAGTTTTTCTTTAAACATATGCGAATACACGCGCGCGTTTATAATTTCAGATTTATAATTTCAGAATTCCATACGTGATTTAAACTTGATAAGCGAGATCAGGTTCTTAAGGCACGTACGTGCGATGATGTTTGCTGGCACACATTGATACACTTACCGTACGAAATATTCATCATAATGTGAACATGTGCTTCAATTAGGCCTTTATGATTATTTAGATTGAGTACATGCGCGGAAGTTGCACGAATGAAATTGCAATCTTTGTCGAGAAATGAGAATTTGCTCGAAGGCATATGCCGTGTTATACTTACATCCGCGTGTCATAAATCGATAAACACATTGGCCCGCATTTATGCCGTGTTATAAGAATGATTTGCGATTTTGTACAAAATGTAATTAAAAATTTAAAATTGAAATTTTTAATAATCAAGTTTAGAATTTCATAAGGCTCTATATGTGAAAACACAAATTTAAATTTAGCGGGCTAATAAAAGCCAGATTAAAATCTATATTTTTTTATTATATATTTTTGGTATCTAAGTGTTTTTAAAATGACAGTTATAAATATTTTACATCATTTATTTCAAGGAATTTACACCTTAAAAGTTAAAATACTACACTATTTAGTGTAGAAGCAATGCACATGTACATTTCAAAGATTTCTTGACAGCTATGCATATGAGTGAATGCCATACATTATTACAATATTTATTATAAAAATTAAAATAAGAATTTTTATAAAAAGATATTAATGAAAATATTAATTTTAATATTGCATTAATAATTCACGAGTTGTAAATCTTTATTCCATTAATTTTTTTTCTTCATAATACTAATGCTAACTTACAAGTAGCAGAATTTAGGTTTTAAAATCATTGTCAGTTACCGAATTTGAATATTGAAAATTAAGGAGTCATAATAAATTTTAACTTGAAGATTAATCATAAAATTAATTATTGTTTTATATTACAAGCTTATTCAAGAATATATGGTACAAGTTAATTTTGACAAACAAGACATTAATTTTAAATCAGTAGAAAGAATTTAAAGATAATACGTGAATTTAAAATTTCCTTTATGAGTTACTATAAATGCGTGAATAATGATCGCGAACGAACAAGGGTCATCGATCGCCGAGAGATCGAAAGTCGCTATAATGGTGAAAGCAAACGATAACGAGAAAGGTCAAGAACGAGCAGTAGTAGCATTGACATTCATAAAAGACGTTAATTGCATCGATTAGAATCTTATTGATCTATGTGCACTACAAAAAAGTGCATGTTGAAGTGAAAACTAGCTAAACATAATTGCGACTGACAAGTTTGCTTTCATGTTATTATTAATATATATATATATATACAGGGTGTCCGCCCATAAATGTCCGTGCAGATATCTCACAACTGATTGAAGTTACAAGAAAGTTAAATAAAAGAAATTAGCACAGTTTTTAGTCCGCAATAAAGCGCATATAAAAAATTTCTTTTTACTCGTAATCTTTTCAAGTTATGAAAGTCACCATCGTTTTTTTAAATAGAACGCCCTATTTTTTATTACATATTCTTATAGCCCTTCTTGAGACCTTTTCAATACACTATAATAAAATGTTTTTTAATGTTTAATTAATTATTTTTAGATATATATATATATATATATATATATATATATATATATATATATATATATTTTTTACAAGCTTATTCAAGAATATATGGTACAAGTTAATTTTGACAAACAAGACATTAATTTTAAATCAGTAGAAAGAATTTAAAGATAATACGTGAATTTAAAATTTCCTTTATGAGTTACTATAAATGCGTGAATAATGATCGCGAACGAACAAGGGTCATCGATCGCCGAGAGATCGAAAGTCGCTATAATGGTGAAAGCAAACGATAACGAGAAAGGTCAAGAACGAGCAGTAGTAGCATTGACATTCATAAAAGACGTTAATTGCATCGATTAGAATCTTATTGATCTATGTGCACTACAAAAAAGTGCATGTTGAAGTGAAAACTAGCTAAACATAATTGCGACTGACAAGTTTGCTTTCATGTTATTATTAAAGAGAAAAAAAGTTATATCTCTCTTTGTTTATTTATTAAATAATCCGGACATCGTCTGTGGATTGTCAGCGGACAATTAGCAAACAATGTACGTTTAATAAACTTGTTTAAACAGTTAAAGATACTAAATATATGATATATTAATGATGAAAAGAAAAGACTGATTTATATTGCCTATCATCTGTCATCTGTTCTAAAATGTATATAAGTTGTATGAAAGTGATCGTGAATTATCGCTTGAATTTAAATTGGTATTTAAACTGACTTGTTTGTAAACAGTGGCGCAAAGTCATCTAACAGTGTTTTCCTTCATGAAATTCAAATCAAACGATCCACTTCGTTTCCTCTAACGGATTGCTGAAGTCTTAATTTGCGCGCTCCTTTGTGTGTGTGTATGCTTTTATTCTCTCACTATAGAAAGACTGTAGAAGACTTGCTATATCAGTAATGTTCCATTTTTTTATGCAAAATTCTATAAATACATAAATAACATTATTGCCCCCCGATTACTGGCAACAATTTTGCAATTAACTCTATATATATATATATA